GGGATTGAACTGGCGCGGCAGAGGCTGCGGGCAGCTTCGCAGCCCAGCGCTCAACCGCTGCGCCACCAGGGGAAGCCCAAGGTGGGTTCTTAATAAATGCTGTTGCCCAGTTTTGTTCCTCACCAGTGGTTACAGAGCCTGAACTTGAACCTGGCTGTTCACTCACAGATTTGCATGTACTCAGCAGTGCAGGTTAGTCCTTTCATCATAAGCCGCGATGGGTCCTGTATAGCCAGGCGATGGGACTGAACATAGAAACGTCTGTTTTATTTCTCTGATAATGGCTGACTTGCAGACAAGTGGTTTGATACAGTTAGTGTCGCCTTCAACTCTCCAAGTCCTTTTATTTGCTCAACACGTTTGTATTGGCCTCCTACGGTGTGTCAGGCACCGTGATCTCTTCCTTAGTGACTTTAACATCTTTGGTAGTTGCAGACCTTTGTGGATTCTTTTGAAATATGGAAAATCATAACCCCTCTCCTCGGAAAACTTTCTAATGTTTGTGTTTTGCTGAAACATTTAAAAGTTTCAGTCATGAAGTCCTAAATACTGCAGCAGCATGCGTTGCCTTAAAAAATGGACATTCTCATATATAACCTCAATAAGTACCATTTAAAAATAAATACTTTAATTTTCTCAAATTTTACTAATTTATATTTTACATAACTATAATTTCAGGGATACATTTTCACACCCCCATATATATAGGTGCTTGCTCACCCTCCACCAAACCCCACTTCATGTCCTGTCCCCCTTCCTTCCTCATTTTCCTCCCTCCTCCCCTGTTCTCCTGGTAACCAGTGTAGTTTTCATAAGGTCTAAGTTCTGTTTGCTGTATTTTTTTTTCTTTTTCTTTTTAATTTATTTATGCATACAAGAACTGGGGTACAGGCCAGAGGTGCAGGGGGTGAGAGGATTCACTAGAGACAGAGTGGTCGCAGAACAGACAGACTGACTGAAATACACTGCTGAGGGGAGCAGTGGGCAAGTCAGGAGTCTACTATGCTGTGTGGGTTGCTCCCTGGCCGGGGATCGACCTCGTGCTGCAGTGCTTGCGGATAGCTTCATAGGCTGTGTCTTAACTCCTTGCACCACCAGGGAGGCCTCACAAGTTTTTATTTCTTTGTTGTTTATATTCCACAAATTAGTGATACCATTTGTATCTGTCTTCTTTCACTTAGCCTAATCACCTCAAGAGCTATCCATTTTGTCTCAAAAGATACTGTGTCATCTTTATAATTAACTGAGTAGTATTCTGTTGAGTATATATTCTAGTTTTCTTTATCCATTTTTGGTCACTGGGCACTTAGGTTGGTTCCATGACTTGGTTATTGTGAATAATGTTGATATGAACATAGGAAGGCACAAATCTTATTTAAAGATTATATTATATTAGAGTTTTTATATTCTCTTATATTCTAGCAGTGATGTTTATTTATAGGTTTATTTATTTTTGCGTTGAAGAACTGGGGTATAGGCCAGAGGTGCAGAGTGGGGGGGTGGGTATAAGAGGATTCACCAGAGACAGTGGGGAACAGAACAGGCAGAATGACTGAAATACACTGCTGAGGGGAGCAGCAGGTGAGACAGTAGGGGTCTGCTGTACCATGTGGGTTAGCCCCCTTGCTGGGGATTGAACTCAGGCCACAGCAGTGATAGTGCTGTGACTAGGCCACTAGGGAGGCCCTCACTATCTCTTGCTGCCACCTTTTCCATTCTTACACTCTGTGCTTTGAATATTCCCTGAATTTGCTCCTAGATTTTTCCTCTGTACTATGCTCGTGCTTAATATTTTCAACAGAATTCTTTCACTCAACCCACTTTGAAACCCTTGAGGCTAAGTGTCATTCTCCCCATTCTATGGCTCAGTAAACTGAGGCTCAGGGTCCTTCATAAGCTCTTTTGTCACAGAGTCAGGGCTGAAGGCAGTCATATGTGCTGGGCTCCTAAATGCAGCCAGGAATTGTGCTGGGGCTACAAAAGTGGTTGGGACTGACATCCTCTCTCTGCTCAGCGATGTGTTCCCCCTGAGCGTGGCACCCTCATTAGCACATGCAGCCCCCAGACTATATCTCCTATATGGGTTTCCTTCACCAGCTCAGCCTGGACGGTCCACCATTGTGAGCAGCAGAGCATGAATGGTGGCTGAGAATGAATGCAGTGTGGCCAGACCATGCTCCTGGCAGGCGGAGGCCAAGTGGAGTCGGCATCTAGGGGAAGTGAACCACACCGAAGCCACCTCACAGCCCAAGAAGGAGTCCACAAAGGAAGGCACTAGGCGCTTGATGCTTCTTGAATCTGGGTCAGGAGGCTCGGTGCTCTTGGTGCTTGCCACCAGAAACCTGGAAGGGCAGACAGAGGGGCTCTTGCCTGTCAGGGCTCCTTATGAAGAGTTGTGCACCTTGTGCCCAGCACAGCTGAGGGAGCACTGTGTGCACACTGCACAATGTAGACTTGTGTGTTTATTAGGACAGTTTCCAGCAGAAAGTTACCGGGGTATCTTGCTCTGTCAGTTGGTAGGAATGCTGTCTACTCTGTCAAGCTGCCCTCTGCGGCCTAAGTTTCCTCCTCTGTAAAATGGTCCTCTGGTACTGTTGGGGCCTTGTAGGAGCTGTCGGTGTGACTGGCTGTTGCTGGAGCTGGTGGCCCTGTGCCAGGCAGCACCTCTGCCTCTCCTATGTGCCCACTCCTGACTCTGTGTCTTTTTTTAATAGAGGCACATGTTTTATTTATTTATTTATTTGTTTGTTTGTTTGTTTTGTTTATACATGCACTGGGTACAGTCAGAAGCGCGGGAGGGTGAGAGAATTCACCAGAGCCAGAGCGGGGAGCAGAGCAGGCAGAAGGACCGAAGCACACTGCTGAGGGGAGCAGTGGGCGGCAGGAGAGGTCTGCGCGCCATGTGGGACCCTCCTCCGGTGGCCGGGGAGCAGCCGGGGATCGAACCGGCGCTGCAGAGACTGAGGCAGCTTTGCAATCCAGCGCTCAACCGCTGCGCCACCGGGGAGGCCCCCTGACTCTGTGTCTTATCCCCAAGGAAGAGAGGACCTCACTAGTGAAGAGGGAACCCTCAGAACCGAGGACACCATGGCTGCGTCAGCCCCTCTGCGGACCCTGGAGGAGGAGGTGACCTGCTCCATCTGCCTCAATCACCTGCGGGACCCGGTGACCATCGACTGTGGCCACGTCTTCTGCCACGGCTGTACCACTGACATCCCCTCGTTCATGCGCAGCCGCCCCATCTGTCCCCTCTGCAAGAAGCCTTTTAAGAAGGAGAACATCCGGCCTGTGTGGCAGCTGGCCAGCCTGGTGAAGAACATCGAGCGCCTGAAGGTGGACAAGGGCAGGCAGCAGGGAGAAGCGGCCCAGGAGCAGTCGGACGTGCAGCTGTGCGAGCGGCACCAGGAGAAGCTGTACTACTACTGCGAGGACGACGGGAAGCTGCTATGCGTGATGTGCAGGGAGTCGTGGGAGCACAGGTCCCACACGGCCTTCCTGATGGAGAAGGCCAGGTAGCTGCACAAGGTAAACCCTCCTCACAGCGGGGTGCTCTGCCACCCCCTTAGGATCTTGGCTCTGAACTCCTCTGGAGTCAAGCCTGGCTGAGACCCTCTGAAAGCTTCCTGTTGGCTGAGAACTAAGCCCAAGTCTGCCCTCCCGCCCCAGCCCAGCGTGTCCACCTGTCCCACTGCCTGTTTTTCTACAGGAAAATATCCTGAAACACCTGAGTAGCTTAAGGGAAGACCGAGACAAAGTTCAGAACTTACAGACAAAGGGAGAATCTGATATCACAGGTACTCTGGTAAGTCACGCTGTTAGGAGAAAGGCCCCAGATTATTGGCCTTGGGAAGCAGGGGTGCAGCTGGGGCATTGCGGGGCTGGGGTATTGCTGGGAGGCAGCTCAGCACCTGGGAGGGTGAGCCCCTGCCAGGTGGCTGGGAGCCCTGGGGTATGAGCCCAAGCCTGCGAGTGTGAGCCGTGTGGCTTTTGGTCTGTTTCCCCATCTGACAGTGACCAGTCTAGAGGTCAGCCGAGGTCTCTTCTCTGTGACTCACCTCTGCTGCAGGTTGTGGCTGGTAGCTGCTGCTGGTCTGCAGAGGGCGCCAGTGTGGGGAACTGAGGAAGGCCTGGTTTGTTCTTTAAAGAAGGGGAGGAAGACAGGATTCCTGAGTTTGGAGGGGAGCCAGATGGCTTGACAAGGAAGGAACTGGCTTCAGGGGAGTACCTGAGTCTAACCAGTGTAGGCGGGCACACCCTGACCATGGTGGGGAGAGTTGGAAGCAGGAAAAGAGACAGACATTCCACACTTCCAGTGACAGAACAGAAGGCAGGCTCCATGGCAGGGATGGAATACATTCAGGTATTTTACACATTAGGAGGGAGCTGAAGG